CACGGCTAAAAGGGCGAGCATGTTTGATGGGCCGTGGATTCGAACCCGCGACCCTCAGATTGCGAGTCGAGCGCTCTAAACATCTGGTCTTACAAAAAGAAAAAAACTAGTAAATATAAACTTACTAAACTAAGATATAACAGCACTCAAGGAGAGTAATTGAACTTTCGAACCAGGAATGACTTTGTTTAGCATATCACCAATCAATAACTAGTTTATTTAACTTTTGTTTGTTTTTTCTTTGAATTTCGCGCAAATCTGCACGAGTATTATCTGCGCTAGTTTTGAAATGATAGATTAGAAGGAAGGTAGCTAATCATCACCATCCATCAACAACTCATTAGAGCCTTACAGTGTAACTACCATGTAGTACATTACTAAGCCACTACCATTTTCATTTGAGACAATTCAGTTCCACAGCCACACCAACCAAGCAGGGAATTGCCTACAAGGCGCCACAGGAAACAAACCTCTGAGGTAATTCGTCACCATTAAATCGCAGGTGTTCTCATGTGTAATAAACATCTAGTAGCACTGTGATCTACGGTAGTCAGCCTAGACAGAAACTGAACAGAGGATGAAGGAGAAAAAGCTTCAGTATCTAACTAAATACCATGATGGACAGTCACCTATCATCATAGCAACGGATGGTTCCCACACAAAAGACAGTGAGAGAGCTGATTGAGCATTCGCCATGTCGTGGTGCAACAACATTCTGCATAAGACTGGTGGATCATTCAAACCTACCACATGTATCACAAGGATGAAACTGGAAGCCATAAAGCAAGCTCTCCTCTGGATTGCTCAAAGCAACGAACCATAAATAGATGGCGCCCCCAACATATATATGACGAAGTCACAGGCAATAAGTACTACGTTAGATATAAAGAGGTTGGTCTCTAGGTAGTTTGGAGAAAATAAAGCAACTGCATAATAAGACTATTACCTGGATATATGTGCCAGACTATGAAGGGGTAAAGCTAAACGAGAAAGCTGCAAAATTTTCCAGAGTAGACCTTTTATCAAATCCAGCACAATTATACAGGCAGGATGTCAGTCTCTTCTGCACTTGTAAGGTAAAAGCAGCAACAACAAGGAAAACTTCTGGACTACTGGAAAACAAAGTATAGCTGCGAAAAGCAAAAGGTAAGAAACATTGTGTAACCAAAGGGCCACTGTTAACATCAATAAAAGAACTCTCTTCTACCTACCACGAGGTAGACGGTCTGCACGAGTGGTTAGCAAAACCTCTGGGACTTTTACTTGGTGCTCAACTCTCAACTTCAGTTCTTATGCAAGTATCAAATGCGGTAATAACTGTATTTGATATGTATTGTAATATTTATTACTTTGCTAGAAGTCCCCAGGTGGGTCAGCGGTAAGTATACGAACTTACAACGCTAAAATCCGTACTTCAATCTCTGCAGTGGACAAAGCGCAGTAAGCCCTATATGTAGCTTTACGCTAAAACAACACCTTTCGTAGGTAAGTCTGTTTACGTATTAAGTTCTCCTAGTTTGCTTTGCTTTCTTTGATAATATTCATATCGATCATAGATAAAACCTAGGGTATTTAAAATGAATTGGAATATTTAATTTTGTTAAAGATTTAACGTGTGAATCATTGTATTTTTAGGTTTTTCTTTCGAAATTTTTTGTAAAAGTGTTGCCCCTTGTTTTTCATTCTTACTGTTATGTCATTATTTAAATAAGAACGAGAAGTTAACTTCAGCATCCCTGATTTATTTATTTTTTTCAAGTTTCATCACGTGAAATTTAAGAAGTAAACTGACATTAATACTATATATTTATATAAGTAACACATAAGGTAAATTATTTGTTTCTAACTTGAAAAATAAAGTGTTTCCTCTCTAAAATATTTGTTCCATTTGCAAGTACTTTCTAAATCACAGTCACACGACTATTGGTTAAGGCTAAGCATGAGCTCAAGATGAATAATGACACTTAAAGTCTTTGTAATATAGAAATGAAATTACTATTCACAGAACATTTTCACTTATAAAACTGAAGTTAATACACTAGATTGTTAAGGTCAAAATGGTAGCATATATCCTGTAAATGAAATTTGTTTATATATACACCTGAAAAAAAGTTAAGCACCCCCGTGTTTTTTTCAAGTGTTCAGATTCGACGTTCTTGTGACTGATTATAAATTACCATTCAATCTAAAC